AATTGCTTTAATTTAGTAATATTAAGGGAAAACCCCATAATATTTCTTGATAATTGATAATTTGCAAGTTTCAGCAAATTTCAGCCCTCACCCTTAATAAATTATTGTTAATAATTTGCAAGTTTCTGCATTTGTTTATGATATCAAAATGAGGTGAATCTCAATCTCCGATGCCATCGTCTAATTATACATACTCCCTACGTCCATTAAGAGATTGTTTCGTGACTTTGGTTTTCACTTTATCGGACGTATTGATTAACTTCTTAATTAAACATCTAACTTTTGATTTGGCGTTGAATCGTCTAATAAAAAAGTAAGGATATAGTTACTTTTCTGGCTGTATTAGTTGATGTTACTGTAGAAGATTATTTCAGCTATTTTTCATATAATGTTTTCTTTATTTTATTAATAAAATATATTTTAAACATGATTTTCTCATAAATTAGCAGAATCAGTCCATCAAGCCATTTCAGCCAAAATTTCATAAATTTCAGCAGAATCAGTAAATACGATCGATTTGAGTACGCATTACCAAACGGACTCTAAAACTTTGTTAGGTTTGAACTTTTTTGGTCAACCAAGTTCAACTTTGATCAATTATATTTTTATAGGAATTGTTTGGTCAACCAAGTCCATTATATTTTTAAAATAAAGAAAAATGATCTTTATTGAACCAATTCAGCTAAAAAGTAACTTCAATCTTACTTAATTTGATTATATAACACAATTCAACACGTGAAATTAAAAGTTACGTATTTGGTAAAAAAATTGACCTATATGATGAGATTGATGAACCGAAAAATATGAGTCAACAAAAGAGCTCTTGATTTGAGATATCATCTTAAAAGATTTGTAGACAAGTTCAATGGTTTATATGTTAGTTTGTATTTGTATGCGCATACATAACGGGCGCCAAATGCAATTTGAGGTGACCTATTTAAGTAATTGAGTCTTACAGGTTACAGGAGTCCAAACTTTAAGACATCACCATTGTTAGTTTATTTGAAGATTAATTAGATGATGTGTCAGATTATTTCAAAGATTAACATTGAGGAAAAGATATTATTTAGGAGGTTATTTAAAAAGAAAATCTGATATCAAGATTGAAATACCGAATTATTTTAGGTTATAGTCCAAATTAGTTTAATGAATAATTTAATGTGTAACAATGTTATGACAATTAGGTGTATAATGGTCCTAGAATAATGAATAATTTAATGTGTAACAATGTTATGACAATTAAGTGTATTAAAAAACCTTATATTTGAACTAAATGAAAGGAGATGCTCTAATATTTTAAAATAATTGCGCCTCGAGCAAACCTGATATCACCTCGAGCAAACTTGATTGATTATTACTTTGTTAATCTTTCATTTTCCTTAGAATAATTGAGCCAATAATGTACTTACAGCTTAAACACTCAAAAAGATTTTCCTAGATTACTTGTCTTCTTAGGTACACATTACTTTTTATTTGGTTGTGTTGTCCCATGATGCGCAATTTAAATTGCCAATTCAAGAGTCTCTTTCACGTCCAACTTAAGCTACATTATCAACCAATTAATTAATAGCATAGTATTAACTGATTCTCCCAATCATTTCTGATTTTTGTTTTAACAACTATAGTACGGGTGAAGTCCTAGGACTGATTTCGACAAACTTCTTAGTGAATCACTCATCTTTGAACTTTCTATCATGGACTCGCTTAATTGCAGATTTATATGATTGAATAGTTGTCATATGATTCTTAAAACCGATTGGTAATAAGGAAACAGACATAATCTATTTAACACATTACTCTTTAATACTCAAATCAATGTAGATTCATGTGGGACAACCCCACAGTTCATTACGACAGTGCAGAACCTCACTTCTTAGTGATGGATGGGCATGAGCGGCTGCACCACATCGTGGTGCCAACAGATTGAGCGATTAAGCCATAAATCAAAGGGTCGTGTTAATCCCCATAAGATCAACACCCTCAAATACGAGTAAAACTCATTCATTTTTCAAAAATAAGATCTAGTAGTTTAAAAATCCCTAAATATGACTTTTTATTTTGATTGGACCAAATTACCCTCATAAGATTGGAGCACTGCTGCCCCTAGGATGCCGGAACACCGCCACAATTTTTTCCCAAAATATTTTCCACCAGCCTGGCAGAATTTCGACGTCGTCGCCACCCCGAACTGATTCACTACCAAGAACTGACCTTGGTTATGAAAAACAATTAGGGGGCAATTAGTTATACTAAATAATTAATTAATTACGGGTATAAATTGTAGTCGTATTTAAGAAATTGAAATAATGCTGTGTTTTGATCCTAAGAACAATTTTCTCCTATAGTATGGAAATAGTAGTATTACTTGATGTTTGCAAAAAAAATTAACAAAAAAAATATTTTCATCTTTTTTTGCTTAAAAAAACTGAAAATAGTGTTTTCAATTGACAATTTCTGCTTATATTAAACACCTAAAAGCTAATAGCTAGTATCTACTTTTTACTTTTAATTACACAAAAACACATTTTTTATAAAACACTACCAACTTTTACTTTTCAAAATTATTTTTTCCTCAAATACTACTAACTTTTACTCTTAAACACCATATAAATTCAATTTCATTTTAGACCTCGTAAGAAAATCGATCTTGACGTTTTCTTTTCAAGAAAGAAATATTGAGTATCTCATTTTTATCATCTCACTTTTATATCTAAATTGCCACAAAAAATTTTATTGTCTACCTTTTTTTAATGTGTGTGAAATTCAACAAGAACTATACGGAATATTTTGGGTGGGTAAAAGTATATAATTTTTAATATATATAAAAAAAATTATTTTTAATAGAGAAAAGGGGTAAATAAGCCCTCGAATTATTTGAGATTTTGTAATCAGGCCCATGAACCGGAAGATTTGCATATACATCCTCAACTCCTTGAAAATTAAACAATGAGATCCTTTTTACCTGTTGTGGTGTATTCGCAAATGTTCCGGTTCATGGCGTTTTTTTAAGCAATCACAAATTTTTACCTCAAATTTGTATCGATTTTTTCACACAAATTAAATTTATTCATGATCAAACTAATTATTTTATCCATTCCGACCCATACATACAAAAGGTTTATACAACAAGTTGATACAAATGTTACTGTCCTTGCTTTTTACTACGTATCATCTAAGAATGGATTGTTGGCCGCGTCAATTTGTCTATTTGGTTTGAGTCCATCGATTTCCAAATTTGATTAACGTTTACTCCTTGGGTCCCGCAAAGAAATCCTCGATTTGACTTACATACATATTAAAGAAATAAATTTAACGGGGTACATTTTACTGGTTTGACATTGTTTCGACACCGTTTGACACTGTTTGACACTGTTTTGCACTGTTTGACACTGTTTTGATGTAGATAACTTCCCCATTTAGGGAAAGAGGAATTTCTTTTTGGGACTGCTAAAAAGGAAAATGGTAACTTCTTTGCGGGACGGAGAAGTATATGATATGATTCCACATGGATAATCTTTTTTGTATCTGAATTATTCAATTTCTAAGCTTCAAGAGCGCTTTGTAAACTGAATGGAGCACATTGATATGAAATGCGAGTAGATTTTTCTGAGACTCGAGTGCAAATATTAACAAGAAAAAAAATTTACACTTTTTATGTACACTCACTATGTTTTCTGTTTATAAAACAATTCCTTTAAAAAAAATCAGCAATGATAATGTACACAGACAAGTGAATAAAACGTGTATACTTTTTGAGTTTTTGTGTACATCAAGAATTGCTCAATTAGCAGTAAAAATGATACTAGGTATACATTAAATGTGTACACAAATTGTATACATAGTAATTCATTTGAAAAAATGCAAGATTTTATGTCAAAATATAGACAGTGTACGATTTATATACACATTTTATGTACATCAAGAATGGTTATTCAATTTTTTTGTCAAAGGTATGATGTCTGTAAGTAGATGTAAACCTTGTTGATCACATACTACGTCTCAAGGTAAGTAAACACGGGTGCAAGCTAAACATTCAGAATGCAAGCTATAAATTAAATAAAATATGAGATGTAGATCCAATATTGAAGTAAACTCAAAAAATATTAAATTAAATATATAAGTTTAGACATAAACTGTTACACGTCTCTATATAATTAGGGGCGTAGCTACACATACACGTCTCTCTGTATTCTAAAGTAAGAATATGAAATATTAAATTAAAGTTATTTCATGGAGATGCTCAAATTGTCGGTATTTTTGTTTCCTACTAGCAAAGCTCTAGAATTTAGATTGAGTAATGAAAGACTTGTTTTGTTCGTCATTGACTCTGTTAAGTTCATTATATGATCAATGAGTCATATTGCTTTTTTGGAGGTGATTGATTCTAATTTCGGTTTGAAGTCAGATGGTCGGAAAGAATTTTTTTTATCTTTTTTGTAACTTGAATTCTTATTATTTAATACTCCGTATAAGCCATACTATTTCAAAAAAAAATCTTAAGGAAGTGTTTAGAAATAATGTTGCTTTTGCTTATTTCTAAAAGTAAAAATAGAACCACAATATATTTTTTCAAAAATTGGTCCCCGGTCTTCTTCGTCCAAAAAGGTTGAATCCCCAACCCCAAGGGCCCCCCACCCCGACCCGACTTCCCCGGTCTTCTTAAAACTACTTTTAGAAGTAATTTGAGCATTGAGCAAGTGAGAGATACCGGGCATTTCCACCCAAATACTCCGGTATCTGCTTTTACTCCCTATAGACTTAGAATCAATTTTGAAAAGCATATCCAAACACCACATAAGACAAATTGAGTGAACAAGAACAAAAAATACCTTTGATAGCTACAAATTTTCTCCAGATTTAGCAGAGATAATTTGATTAAAAATGCAGGCAAATTGTCAATGACAGAGAAAATTTGGACGTGTAACCCACAGGCACGTACAAACAGAATTTTTCATATTAAATTGAACACAAGACTACTACTTACAAGAAAACAGACAGATTCTTCATCTAGAGAGGCAAAGAAGAGACAAAAAAGAACAGAGGGAGAGGGAGGGGGAGAGAACAGAGATGGGAAACTCATTTGGTTGCTCAGCATCAGGGGAGAGGCTGGTCTCAGCTGCAAGGGAGGGTGACTATATGGAAGCTAAGGTGCTTCTTGGGTGCAACCCCTGTTTGGCCAATTACTCCACTTTTGGTGGTCTTAACTCTCCTCTTCATTTTGCAGCTTCCAAGGGCCACTCTGAGGTGATCTTATTAATTATCCTTTTGCTCTTTCATTCTGCTTAGCTTCGAACTTGTCTTTCATTTCCTTTTTTTTAATTTGTGGTTACGTTTCTCAGATTGTGGCTTTGCTGCTTGAGAACGCTGCAGATGTGAACTCTAGAAACTACTGCGGTCAGGTAAGAATGTGGTTGTGATCTTTATGCAAAACCGCTGTCATTTACCTAAATGAATATTGGTTTGAATGAAAATAAGCAGAACGAATTAACCAAAAACGCCCCGCAATGATCATTCTTTAAATGTTCCGGGGCGTAGCTCACCCGATAGGAATAGGGTGCAGGAAGAGGTGCCACAAGGGAGGGTCCCGGGTTCAACTCTAACCTTGGGATGTAACATCACTCTTTTTCCATTAGAGTGTGATCAAAGAATGGAGTGTCATCCTTTTTTTAAAATGTGTAATGAACAATAACTTAAAGAATTCAATTTCTTCCTATGAGCTTCTTCAATGCCTATGAATGACAAAAGAAGCTTCATCATATCTTGGAGTAAATTTCCTCATGGCTACCATTAAAGCTTTTTCAAACTCTTTTGTGAGTTAGGCTTGGATGTTTTTGTTGAACATAATCAAATAAATTAGTGGTCAAAGTCATACTAATGTTAAACTTGGTCAAATCCTAACTATATTAGAATTTGTGGGGTTTTACCCTCTCCCTTAATCTTTGAGCCTAAAGTGAATGGTACTCTCATTTTGGGATGGAGGAGTACTACGTATAGTAGTGGTTCAAGAAGTTAATTTTTACATGTATGAAGATATTACAACTTCAGGTGAAAGTTAATAGTAATTACAGTTAACGTTCAAAAAATAGCAAGCTAACTATACAAAAAGATTCGATATAAAAACAAATAGCTCAAGCGTTTTTCAAGTGTATCCCAAATCAGCCATATAAGAACTCAGGAATGGATAAATGGGTAACACCATTCCAAACAGGCTACCCAAAACTATGACACCTAAATAAACAAACAATCCACAGCCAAACCAAGCTTTTATGACTAATTAAGTTGTCCAACTGATTCCACAAGTAAAGTGTACCTTAGAGTTATATATTAGACACACATTCGATAAGTATATGATGTGGAAAACTTCACAATTACTATATAATAATTAAAAAATTCTATTTATAAGTGTTTAGTTCTATTAAATCACAAAACTTGAATTTGAATGTGACAGAAAATTAATACTTAAAATCAGAGACTGAAAAAGAATTGTGTTGACTGAATGAATACTGAAGTTGCAAATAATTTGCAACCAATGAAGTATAATGTTGAAATTGATTGATCTTAGCGTTAAACCTTACGAGAAGTTTTATGTGTAATCGCTAGACAGCATTGATGCAAGCGTGTCAATATGGCCACTGGGAAGCTGTTCAAACTCTTCTTCTTTTTAGATGCAATGTGAGTTTACTTATTATTTACCTCCATTTAGTGAGTTTAAATTTAAAAGAGAAGGAACTTCTCTTGGTTATCTTCATTTCATCCCCATGTTTAATTTGCCAGTACTATTTATTTTATTTTATTGTTAGACCTCCATTTAATAAGAAGTCAACAATGAAGGTTGACTTAAAATAATAGTTATATAAAAATAGATACTTCCCTTTATTCAATCTCATTTCCCCCCATTTCATCATCAGGTTACAAGAGCAGACTATCTTAGTGGGAAGACTGCTCTTCATTTTGCAGCAGTGAATGGGCATGTCAGGTGCATAAGACTTGTTTTGGCCGACTTTGTTCCCAGTTCTCCTTTTGAATCTGCAAGGGTAGCTGACAGAAGTGAGAGTTCTCATTCAAAGAGAAAACATGATCACCAGTAAGTTATTTAATTTGAGTTAATAAAATATTTCAGTAGATAACATGAGGTTTACCAAGAATGTCCGTCTCAAATGATAAATGTGAGACTTGCTCTTTCAAATGATAAATATGAACGCTTCATATTTGGAATGTATGTTCTTGCTGTCCATCTCTTGGAATCTTGAATTGTCATTTTGAAATCAAAAAACATATCTATTTAATTTTATGGGAAAATGACTAAATAATACTTCAACCGTACCAACTACATGTGAAGAAATAAGTTCACTAGATTGGCTGAGGATGAAGTTAATTCTCCCCTCATAATTTGTTATACATATTTAGAAGATAGAATAATTCCGGAAACAGTCTCTCTGTGCTTTAGTACAGGGGTAAGGCTGCGTACATCCGATCCCCCTTACCCCACCGTAGGTGGGAGCCTTTGCGGCACTGGGGTAAATGAAAATGATGATGATGATTTAGAAGATAGAATAATTAAGTGTTATATTAAATTGCAAAACCCAAAGCCAAAAATAGTCATATATTGATACTAAGAATTAGAGTATATAAAATTGAATTGTGTTGAACAAGAAAAGTAAAAGTGAATATCATTTTGGGACGGATGAAGTATCAACTAGCTGGTATAGGCTAAAAGCAACCCTAATTTTAGAAATTACTAATAGATAGCCAACTATTACATTTTATACCAAAAACAATACAAGCTCAATCTGAAAAAAGAAATGTGGACAAAGTGTAAACATGATCATAGGAGATCTGCCTGCATTTAAAAGTTAAACTTTTTTTATGGTCTACGGTCAATAGTTGGAAGTATTATATTTTAGTTATATTATTGCTTAGAAGTTTGTGTTGATTGTATTTTGGGTTGTTTCATACCTGCAGCGCTCTGGCAAAGTTTGTAGATAAGGTTGCAGATGGTGGTGTTACGGCTCTTCATATGGCTGCATTAAACGGATATCTTGAGTGTGTACAACTCCTGCTTGATCTTCATGCTAATGTATCAGCTGTTACATTTCATTATGGAACATCCATGGACCTTATAGGTGTATAACATTTCCTTGAGGATTGTTTTGTTCGGGATGGCGGAGGGGAGGGGTGATATTTATCTTCAATTTATTCATGCATTTAAATTAAATGGCTTAAAAGAAAGTGATGATGAAAAACAATACAGAACAAATTATTTGACTAAATTCATAATACAAAAATCCCCAAACCAAAGAAGCCTTTGAGTCTTTAAATGCAAATTTGTATGTTCCAACTTGTATACAGGGCCAGCCATAGGGGGTAGGCACCTAGGCAGTGGCCTAGGGCACCACTCCCAAGGGGGGCATCATTCTCCTGTCCAACAGGTTTTGGTCCGAACGCCGTCCGAACAACGCTTTTCGGGCTGGTTCCCGGTGGAATTTTTTGATGAAATTTTTATGATATGTTCTTCATCAAGCCTAGTTTATCCAAAAAAAATCAGCTCAGAATAAGACCGGGAAGGCCGTCAAATAATTTTTGGAAAATAACTGCGCAAAATTATACATAGAAAAACGCAGTCAATTTCCAAAAATTATTTGACGGCCTTCCGGATCGAGTTTTGAGCTGAATTTTTTTGTGAATAAACTAGACTTGATGCATAACATATCATAAACATTTCATCGAAATATTCCACCGGGAACCGCCCTAAACGGCGGTGTTCGGACGGCGCCTCAGATCCGAACTTTCGGACCTGAGAATTTTCCTATATGTATAGAATAAACTGGCGCAATAAGAATTACTGATCATGATGATTACCTCGTTGATAAAAAACGGAGTTTTAGTGACAAATACTAAATTCGGTGCTTGCAAATGGTGAAAAAAGTGTTATCTACTCTTGATTGTGGTGATGTACTTACATATTTGCACATCAAAAAGCAAGAAGAATATGTTATTAGGTAGTACTTTTATAATTTTATTTATTTCTTTGAAGAATTTATATTTTCACATACTTTACATCAATTTTAAATCAAGTATTTCTTTTTACATTTAGTAAAAAATGATGTTATAATTTTCTAATTATTTCATATTTAATTATGTTATTAATTTGAAGTACAATTTGATATCATTAGTTATTTTTTGTCGGGGGATACAATTTGATACAATTTGATGTTATAGAGACTAAAATGAAAAACCTCAAATATATGATTTTGCAGGAGGTGGGAGTACTCCTTTGCACTATGCTGCATGTGGGGGAAATATCAAATGCTGTCAGGTGAGTAAATGTTTAGCTGTTATATTCACTCAATGGAATGAAAATATTCCAAATATTATTTCTTGATTCTTCAGATCCTTATTGCAAGAGGGGCTAGTCGGTTGACATTAAACTGCAACGGGTGGGTAAACTACACTACTTCATTGTTAGCTTCTTGAAAAGCATTTGTGTACTAACAATGAATAGTTAGTATCACAAGAATGTTGAAGAAGACATTCATAACAGATGGATTCTATCACCAGGTGGCTTCCTCTTCAGGTTGCCAGGACGTGGGGGCGTCGTTGGCTTGAACCGCTGCTTGACCCAAATTTTGACTCCGCTATTCCACCATTCCTGCCATCTACCTATTTGTCATTGCCACTCTTGAGTGCACTTGAAATTGCTAGGTAACTAGCATTTTATAATGCGCACTGATACAAACTTATGTATTAGGTTTTGAGCTACTCCACCCATGAGGTTGAATTTTTCTAATAAAACCTCAAGTATTAATATGGTATCGAAGTTTCTTAATCTACAACAAAGTGACAAAATATTGTGCAACCACCTTACTTTACATGAATGGTCATCCCACACCAGCAAAATGCCAAATGTATAGAGTGCTTGATCCAAAAGTTACTTAACGTTATATTTAGGTCAGAACTTGATATTACCCCATGCCTAAAAAACATAAAGGCATAAAGCATATCTACCTTGCAATGAAATTAATATGGTAAAAATGGTCTGAATTTTAATGGTTTCAGAGAGCAGGGCCTGCAGTCCTCAGAAAAAACTAGTGATGATGATATAGATACTTGTGCAGTTTGCTTGGAGAGAACATGCACAGTTGCTGCTGAAGGTCCACTCTTCACTCATTCAATCTGTTTTTTTTTACATTACCACTACCCTATTTAAAAGTTTACTAGTTTTCTTTCTGTGAGCTTTGTTTACAAAATGAATTTTATGTGTGATATGTTTTGCTCAAATTTTAATTTACTACTATGTCAGACTCTAATGTATGAGTCCTGTATAAGAACATTGCATGGTCCAGACGAAGCGTCTGGCTCGTGAAGGGAAGTGTTGAAAGATTTGTCTTAAGTCTTACTGTGGTCATATGAAGTTGATATTTTTATGATGGAACCCTCAAGTTTAAATACTGTGTATGGATGGTCTTTCATTCAGGTTGTGGGCATGCATTTTGTGTGAGATGTGCACTGTACCTTTGTTCTGCAACTGCAAGCAATACCCCGTCCGAATCAATGTGCCCGCCTGGCTCCATTCCATGCCCGCTTTGCAGGCGTGGAATTGTCTCTTTTGTAAAACTACCTGGTTCATCATCATCAAAGCAGGAGATGGGGTTATTACAACACTTATCATCAGTGAGCTTGTGTACACCAACATGTCTGCTTCACACACCTACTCATGAGCAAGACCGCTCAACATCTAGCAGCACAGCACAGAAGAATATCAAAGGAAACTGTGTGTCTTCTGTTTCTTCAAATTTTTTGAGTCTGATCCCTTCTGGTGTAGAAGAGGTCTGGAATATTTTATAGTGTATCACTGGTGGTTATATTAACCTTGTCCAGATTGGCATTCTCAATCAGTTTAGATTCTTGCTTGGGCTGATTGTGTATAGTATGCTAGTTTTTATTAGACTTTAGAGGTACCCCATCTGTTTGCACAGACATCACAGTGCTCGATTGGTGTGTTCGCCAGGGATGTTTGTGAATGCGAATTTGTATAGTTTCTGGGAATAAATTATTCAAAATAATAACATTTTAATTTACATCAAGAGTTTTTTTCACTATTGAAGTTTTGATCTATGGTAAGTTGGTAACAATGACACTTAAATAACAACATTTGAATTCATCTATTTTACTTCTAAATTCTAATAATTGTGGAACGGTTTTAGTAATCGCTGAATCTTCCTTTTCCCTTTGTAAGAGACATTTTATACCTCTTTTTGAACCTTGTCACAATCTTCTGACTGAAGATGGCAATTATTTTTAATGGCAGACATGAAATGTGAAAACAAAAATACTTCTATCTCCCTACTGTTTTTTAAGTACATACTCCGTATTACTAGAAATTAATTTAAAAATGAATTATAAATACATTATTTACAAATACAACCACAAAATGTAGCTTAATACATTACAGTTCAACTGGTGACGAGTGACGACACACACACTACAAATCTGTAACTACAAGTAAACACGGAAGAATGCCACTACAAAATGTGCCAGTCTTAGAAAATAATAAAATGAAAAAGTGCGTCTTCAATTTCGATCTCAACACATGTTCCAAAATCCAAACATAGAACAATGTTTGGTCAGAAAGCTTACCAACCAAATTTTGTAGAACCCAAAATTTAGTGCCTAATCATTAGGCAGTTAAAGATTATGACTTTTGCGGTTCATTGTTCCGCAAGGGTTCTGGATCAGCTTCTCCATTGGCTGGAGCTGATTGTTTATCGACAGCTTCACTACCTTTGTCATTAACTACTATACTCTTACTAGCATCTGGACTACCTTCCACAATTTCTATATTGTTAACACCAGCTGTTAAAGATGAGGACGAATCACATCTTCCGTCCCTTTTCTCCTCAGCATCTTCATCGCCCCTTTTCTGACCATCTTCACCGCTCCTTTTCTCAGCGTCTTCTTCCACATCTTCTTCACCACCCCTTTTCTCAGCATCTTCCTCACCGAATTCATCTTCCATGGAGGAACCCTTCGAGCACAGCTCTTCGACCCTCTGATATTCATCATAGTGGGCCCGTCTGTGTTCCCTAAAGGACCTTCTACTTCCTGGCTTTGAACCTTGACGCAAAAGTTAATTCAAAAAGGGAAAAATATGAATCAGGATCATGCCTATTAGTGGATTCAAAAGCTTAATAGAGAAAACAATGAACCTCCACCATCTTCATCCATTGACTCTGCCTCATCATCTTCGGATGATGCCCAACCACCAGCAGATCCCAATTTACTTTTACTGGATGGAGAAGATGCAACATCATTCAATGCATTCCTTATAGCTTCAGCATGTATTGCATCCCCAGACTCATCACTTGAGCCAACCCTTATAGGAGACAAAGATCCTAGAACAACCATAGACAGGCAACAAGCAACAGCATGATTCAGAAAATGCCAATAAACAATAAATGTGTCATAATACAATCACAATCGAAACACACAAATAATCAAGAAAGCCCAATAAGTACTACTCCTTATGTCCCACAATTTTCTTTCACTACTTTTTGGGATGCCCCAAAATTTTCTTCCAAAAATTTCTTCATGATTCTTTTTAAAGTATATTGTATGAAAGTGTTATCAATGGAGAATGGCATAGTATGGCGGATTGACAAATTCCTACCGCATGGCGCCACCATAAACAGCAACAAACAGCCACAAACTAATACTCTTGACAAGTTTCATATAGCGGTTAGCGGTCTGCCATATTTCCGCTAATGCCATCCGCCATGATGCTGCCATTTTACACTATTGTATGGTTGATATTGTTTCCCCTCCTTTCACATCAATCACAATCATACAATTTCACTTTCTTAACAAGTGTGCTAAGTCAAACCAGGAAGAAAATTATGGGCCAAGAGAAGCCACAAATCAATCCCTAAATGATTATACATACACCCACATTATAGCAAAAGTGCTCACAAACACACACAAAAAGAAAACACAACAAGCAAAAGGTGTATACCATCATCATCAATCATATGGTGATATGGAGTCTTTGGCTCAGCTATTTTCTGTCTTACAGGTTTGTTTGCCTCAATTTCTCCCAGATTATGTTCATCCCATCTTACTTGACGCCTAACAAACCAAAGGAAAAAGCATAGAACATATATCAGCAAACGGGCAGAACTAAATATGGTTTTATTTGAAAAAAAGGAACATTAGAGTCAATATAATGATAAACCAAAGGCATAAAGTACTACTACTTCATTTCTTCTGCTCAATCAAGTTCCTTAAATCCTTAATTTAGGAGGTTCTTGCTGAAACATGGAAAACAGACAGGGAAATATCAGAGAAGTAAAGAAAAACAAAATATTATAAGAATAGTTTTAGCATCTAATAAGTAATAATTCCAAAAGTGCAAACTTCAGCCTACTGCAAAGCATCCAATATTAAACTTTTTCAAAGTTGAAGTGTGATAAAACTAGCTAAATTATTCCAATGGTGAAGATCATCACAAGGGAGATTCAAAATGCACGTGAAAGGCAAAGATAAAGCCATAAACAAGGGCACATGCACCTGCATTTTTCGTTTTGTTTGCTCCTAAAGATAAAGCTAAAATTCCCATAACCTATTAAATCTGCTAAGTATAAAAGAAAAATATTTCTTGCTAAGGAAGTTTCCACCAAAAAAGGTACATTCTAAGAATTGAGGTGTCTCATGAGAGTATATATCCAGAAGCATGACACACAATACAGCTCACGTGCATTATATAATACATCAGGCGAGCACAACAAGGTCCATTGCATGAAGGCCGGCTGTTCATTTTTTCATAGTGATTAAAGTTAAAACAAGATTTGTTTTTTTATAAAACACATAGATAAGGGTGCAAAGTGGAATTGTGTGGGTAAAAAACAAATTTTAAAGCATGATATTAATGTAAAAAACATCATTTTATAGTGGAAAAGTCTAAAATTAACAAAGGAATTCAGTCCTAAAATCCCCTCGGGCCTCGGTACAAGGGCATGGAAAACAAATGCATCACACTTTCTTGGCAACGAACTGCATAGAGGAGGCTATATAATCCATTGTGCAGAATCAATATTTTTATTTAACAAAATTTGCATGTGTGTATAGCCTCCAATCCTGCCAAAGTTATAGCCAACACTGTCTGGACGCTTCGAATTTTAAGAGAGCACATTTTACATGGCTATAAGACTACATTCAGACTTATATAGTTGAAGCTCAGCTATAAGACACTTTAGCACAGCTTCATATGTTTATGTGAGTGTATTATTGTGATGTTTAAGATATTCATAGATGAATAGATCAATAAGAAAATAATATAAGTTCTGAATACAAATGCCCGATAATAGCAATATCTCAAAGTCTTAAAGTTGCAGCTGAATTCATATAACATTGAAAGAATAGAAGAATAAGATGGCGTTGTGCGTCTTACAGTACTAGGTCTGAAGCGCCAAGTGAAGAAGCAGAGAAGAGGAGACCGCAAGGGAGCAGGCATGAACAAACGATCTAAGGGGAAAACGTAGGGTTTATTTTTTTATTTTTGGATTAGATAAAAAAATACTTCCTTTTTCATAAAAGTTGCAACATTGGAATTTCTGCACTATTCACACACCTAACTTTGATTACGATTTTCTAATAATATATATTATAAAAATATTATGTATAAAATATTAATAAATTTACATTAGTGTAAATTTCCAATATATTAACTTTTTTAATGTTTACTAATACGTAAATAAATATAATTACAGTCAAAGTTGCGCGTTGGCAAACGTGAAAGTCAAACTGTTGTAACTTTTATGGAATGGAGGATAGTATAAAGGGAAAAGTAGAGAAAATGTATCTATGTTTTGGACCGTTTTCAAATAGGGGCATGTGTTTCATTTTTTTAATAAAATGAGACATGTGTTTCAATTCTGTCATCACAACTACGACATGGCGTCTAACACCGTTAAATAAACTTACTCCGATTTTCAAAAGTCTCTGAATAATTAAAAGAAAACTACTGGGAGGTGCGCCTCGAGACCAACAAACTATAATTCTCTTTGGATTTTTCTACTCTATTTGGATTATTTTTTAAAAACAAATTCGCTAATACTCTGTATCATTTTTCAGATGGACTTTCTGGCGACAGAGTGCCTGGAAACATAAAAGAAAGATGATCTGGAGGTTTTCTTTACGAGGCGCATCTCCTGGTCTTTTTCTTTTAATTTTACGGAAACTTTTGAAAATCGAAGTTAATTTTTCTAACCGCGTTAGACCGCATACCTATGCGTCAGCTGTGATAACGGAATTGAAACAAATGTCCCACTTTGTTAAAAAATGAAACACGCGTCCCTATTTGAAAACGGCCCAAACGGCATGTAATTTTTCTGTACTTTTCCCAAATATAAAATATGAATATTTCATGAGAAAATGTGGATAATATGTGACTGTGTAGCTACACGATGCAAATTTTGAACACAATTATAGTCACTCATAATTATTAACTAATAATTTTTCTCAATCACATTTTAAATTGTAATATTTATGAAAATAGTTCCTTTTAAAAAGATCCTTAAAATGACTTATTAAAGTAGTTAAAATTATTGAGCCAACTATAAGTATAATCACTAAATTCAAAAAGAAATGTTAAAGGTACCTCAAAATGGGTTCTCATTCTTTCCCGACCTGATGTGTGACCATAAATGTGGCAACACATTTAAGTGGGGCATCCCATTTAAATGGGTATCCCATTTTGGAGTACCTATAGCATTTCTCAAATTCAAATCTCATATTTGGAGTGTCAATTTTCCATTTTTCATATTTGATCTATCTCATTAATATTTAACTTTAATATTATTACTCTTTAATTCAATCTAATTCGAACTTCTGAATCCACGCTCGACTCTCACTCTGTTTTTTCCTATATTGAGCACAGTCAATAATGTCCAATTTACATATGTTTACCTATAGATTTCATAAAACATTACTTAATTTATTAAACATAGTGGATTTTTCTAAATATCATAGAATACATTTCAATTTCAAAAAATTAAAATTGGATACATGAATTTTCTTGTTTTTTGTTGGTTAATAAAAAATAAATAATTTCAAGTAATTATTGATTGTCATTTGATTCTCTTCTGAACATTTAAAAATATATATTAACTGTTGAACTTCATTTGGGCCTATGAACTTCATTAGATTTACATAAACAAATTTTAATTTCTAGTAGGGGTTGATGTCACTTGTCCATTTAATCCTATTTTTTATTCGTGTGGGAGTTAGGTAGGAATGGGGAAATACACTTTTCACTCTTACTTTTCCATATACTCACTCTAAAATATTCGCATATATACGTCGGGAAAATGTACAAATATACTCATTTAGTATGGGTGTGATAACAAATATACTCATGTTATATTTTCGGAACAAACATACCCATGAAGTATATGTGTAAGTGCATATATATCCCTGAACTTTTAAAAGGTACAAAAATTCCCCTCATATTCATATAAAAAATAAAATTTACTCTTATTGAATTTAAATTGATAATATACATTTCAAATACACAAAAACAAATTATAGATTCGTTTAAAAATGTACTTGTGTCCAATTCTTCCTTTTATTGTTTGTATATCACAATTTAATATTGTTAGTGTAAATTATTATTTCAAAAATTTAATATATATTTAAGATTTTTCGAAAAAGTGTTAACATATGTGATGGAGTATATGGCCCGGGAACCCCCAGCCCACAGACTCCTACTACTCCAGCGAAGGCCCAACAGGCCCAACAGGCCCAAATCACAGCGCCCAGAGTACCAAGCAGTCCGCACAACGCGCCAGGGGTGCCTTCGGCCCCCTGGCCGAAGGCTCCAAATTCTCACAGAACGGGTTTTTCAAGCAAATTAAGAAACTGGGAGAAAACGGCGAAAACAGTAGCCCTCGGCACTGTGAGCCCTCGGCACCAGGGTGCCATCGGGTGGAAGAGCCCTCGGCTACTGCTCTATAGCCGAAGGCATCTCACTCGACAAGATATCCGCCTCACATGCGTACAGATCACCGTACCCCGCACAGACGTCCCATCCAACAGCCGCTTTAAATGCGGCCACATGCGGCTGCCAGCGCCAACCAGTTGAGGTGACCCCTCGGCCAATGAGCGCTTGACACGTGTCCCTGCCCGGCATTTATTGCTACTATAAATAGCACCCCATTTCCTCATTTGTAACCACGCTGAGAACGGCATTCATATTGAATACACTCTCTCTCTACTTTTACTTACTTGCTCTGACTTCTCTCTAAGTTATTCCCCGTAATAACCTTTCGGATATATACTCCCGGGTAGACTATCCATCAATATGTGTTGCAATGTAAACAAATATTAATTTTTTGCATACTTTGCATTATAAAATTACACATTTTGTATGATGATAAATAGTCAAAGATTACAAATAAGTGAATTTAATTTTATTAAGGTTAAGCAAAATCAAAGAATGTTATTTCAAAAAATGTAACAATATGTTCAAAATTTCGCAACAAAACTAAAATTAAAAGTAATGAATTTGAAGTGCTTCACTTACAACGGAGTAATATTTAACATAATTATAAATTTTTATTTTTAAATTTCAAATTTACAATTTTATTTTGGTGTTTTTGGAAATTTATTTTATCTATTTAAAGTTAATAAGGGTAAATTTGCTCCTTTATAAGAACATGAGGATATTTTTGCACTTTTTAAAAGTTCAGAGATATATATGCACTTCAACATTTACTTTAGGGGTATATTTGTTCCGAAAAATAGAATAAATGTATATTTGTTCTCGGTTCTCACACTCATACTACATTTAGTGGATATATTTGTACATTTACTTTAGTGGATATATTTGTACATTTTCCGTGTATACGTCCATAGAAGTCAATAACCCCAAATTTAACATTTTTTACTCCTACAAATGGTCTAATTGAAAGATAACACCGCCATAACGGCTAAATTACAGCAGCACCGTGACTCTACCACACTAGTATGCCACCTCTATCGCAAATTATACCGTGAGATCGGCCCACCTTCCGGATGGTGTTCCGATCCCACTTTTAGGAAAGTTACACTAGTGGAAAATAGGGATTTAATAACGGTTAAAACAGAATTTTAATAACGGTTCCAAACCGTTATTGTAGCAGCACATATTAAAAGTCCGGTACATTTAATAAGGGTTCATATAACCGTTACGAAAGATATTCCATAATGGGTGACGTAGAACCGTTATTGAAACTTTCGATATCGGCTAAATAATAACCGTTATGGTATGTGTTTTACATGGGATCAAATAAACCCATAAGAAATGTATTCCTTCACATAAAACCTAATTTATACCATGTTGTTGGGTTGAGATCAGATACAAAGTATGCTTCCCATACAAAATGCAAAATCATCTCATCTGTCCAATATTATAAAATCAATGGTACGATTTGTTTTGAACACTACTAATCAGCCATATTATTAGTGGGGCAGTTTTTTTATCTTATAACCACTACATGCGGACCAACTTAATAGTTAGTGAGGGGGAGTTATCCATCAACACCGTTGTTTCATTTACATGGATGGCCAAGATTAGTTTGCACTTTGTAAATTAGGATTAGTTTGTATGTGATCCTAAATCCCATGTTGTTTCCAAATATCACTAGTTTACATATATCATCAAAATAACATTTATCATATAACAACAAACAAATTTCATTAATCATAACTAACGACAATAATCCACAATTTACATCAATATTGAGTAAATCCAAAAATATTCATAAAAAACTATCTATGAGCTCACATCACTCAGCAAAACTAACAATGAGTTCACAACGCTCAACAAAAGACTAGCTATGAGTTCACAAGACATACAACTAAATTAACACTATATGGTATAAAACTTATATCAAATCTTCGTAGCATCGCAGCAAAATGATGCCCAATGCTTCTGTGCCTCATGGATTTCTTGCTCAGTGATGAATCTTGAACGTTAAAAACCTACAAATTATTAAATAATGAAAGTAAACTTATTAGTACAAAAACTGAAGCAAAAGCAATAACACAGTAACAATAAAATGAAAAGTATATGTGAGAAAAATAATCAAACAAAAGCTAAAGCTTATCACGTTCATTATCATAGTTTATCTTAGAAGATTTTCATATTCTACCACTTCTCTCGTTACTTCTTAAAATAAAAAAGGCAATGGAGCAAACACACAGATATTGAGTGGAGGCTTAAATCATTAAATCTAGTCATATGGTGTTTAAAAGAAAGAGTTCAACACTTAAATCTAAACTTTTGCCAGCAAATATGAGTTTCAAATCATGAGTGTAATAATGAAATATTGAAACCCATATTGACAATGACAAACAGCAGTGGTAACATTGGTGCTCCATCACATCCTATTAGCCAAAGCATGTAAGATAAGTGATTTAGCAGTTCTTTTTTAAATGACAATGTTATCAAATCTATAATCATAAAAAAATCAAGGTAACAGAGAACTCTGTTATTATTAAAATCGATAATGTAAAAGTCATCATGAGTTACCCTGTATGGTTCCGAGGTTCAAAAAGCAGGCTGCTCCATCTTTTATATATGCTGGCAATTGAAGAAATTGGATGCCCCATAGCTTCGATAGAAAAGGTAGGAGAAGGCTTATAAAAACTGCTTGGCAGGCACGAGAAAATGTGGTTCAGGCTTCTATGTTGAAAATTGACAGGGAGAGAAAGCGAGTAATAAGCATGCAAAAGAACATAGTCAAAACATCCGACCTGGAAAGCAGATCTGAAAGTGTTCACAACAAATAGATCCACAGTACCTCCCTGCCAACACAATTATACTCTTCAGATTAATGAAATACTCCTGCTATCATCCATGACTTAAGTGCTGGCAAATAAGAGTACCAAGTCTGATATATTTAATAACAAATATGGGTTTCAAATCATGAATTTTTTGCCAGTAAATAAATGATCATCCTGTAAATACGAAAATGTAAATGTGGCACACAGACCAATTTCTTTGACAGTCATCAATTGCAACAAACTCAACCATCAAGGACTAAATGACAAGAAAGAGTTCCTCTAAACCCAAACATCAGAGAAACACTTACTAATGGACCCTGGTAACTCTTAACAAAAACTATGAAACCATTTCACGAGATATGAAGACAAATAATGGAAGCAAAGTAGACAAATAATGGAAGTAAAGTAGCCCTTATTCACACCTTGTTCATAAAAGGCTCATATGGCATATGAAGAGGTGGATGGGAGTGTGGGACTTAGACACCCTGTTCTTTTTTTGTTTTTTTAAAATTACACACTTGATACTTTTATCAATACCATAAAAGATATGAAAATACAAGTTTGTGAACTTTAAACTAGAAAGAGACTTTTCCATGTGAATAAAGATATAGATACGCGGTCATGCTAGTAGGGACAATTATTGTCATCCTAGTAGCACACTGCAATATGAAGTGAAGGCAAGCAAGTCACTGTACAGATTTGAGTAGATATTCACAGTTCACTTGAGACAGATTAAATAATTTACCCTCCAAATTTCTCTGTGAGTGAGATGATTCTGGTCGAGGTCAAAAATCTAAGCATAGTTAACACTAGACTGCATAAAGACCTATAAGTTCACACCCCAAAACCAAACCATCATAGTCTGCAATATCAAACAGAGGGAAACTGAGGAAACAATCTTAAGTTCACACTCATACTGAAAGCATTAAAGATTACAGCTTGTAAGGTCTTTGAGAAAACTGAAAGCAAACTTACCACAAGGAGTAGATGATTGTAATACAGAAAAGCCTCATATAAAAACAAATCCCTCAAGTTTGCACTCATTCTCCTAACTGAATCCCGGCTAATCTGCTGATTGTACTCAGATATCAGCTTAAAGAAGTTATAGAAAATAATAATGCCATAAAATAATATGTTATCATATTGTGTAGTCCATGGGTTATGTGAACAAGCCATGAGAATACAATTCACACCGACCTTACAACAAGCGAACCCCCACATGAGAAAAAGAACTACCTGAAAATATTATCTTTGTTAGACACTTCTACAAATACACTATATAAGATTTGAAACGAACAGTACCCATAACCAGAATGATATACTACTATGCTTACATGCAACAACAGAAATAGCATGAAAAAATGAACAAGATATCCAGCATTCCAGTGTCATTCAAAATACTGCATACCTCTCCAGAGAAAATGAAATACTAATTCAATGGCAATTCAGTGTTTCAGGTATATAGCCAATTACAAAACATAATTCTATATCATATTTGTCCTTCACATTTAGTCCACACTAAGTTTGTTATTTTTATATCCAGACACCCTTTAAACTGAAATAATGTACCCAGAAAACATGGTCAATGAACTCCTCTATAAGAGCTATAGCAAGATGTTGTACTTGAATGTATAATAGATAATTTTAAAGCTATCCTGGTCATTGATTTTGAGAGGCAAGTAGGCAACTAAGATGGAATGAAGACCTTAAATCTCCAAAGCAAGACTGGAGATGGCAATATTGTTGTGCTGGCCAATGGTGTGTTCACACTCTTCATTTCGTTGACCTCAGTTGCATGCAGAAAATCTTCAGCACTACTTCCCAACTCAACTGTACCTAGCAGTTTATTATTTACTACGGTGAGCACATACGATGAGCAAAAACTGATCCCTTCTATATCCACAATTAATTCTTACTCCGTATAATAGACCTACAAAACAAACCTAAAATGAACTATATTAATACGTACATTAGGTATTTATTCACTATAAATACATACCTAATCCGATTTTACTCGTTCCAAAAACCCTAGGAATTGAACATAGAAATGAATGTATGTAATTATTTGAAATAATCATTCTGAGTTTATAAATTAGCAAAAAAGGAATCTCGGAACTGAGAAGGACATAGCCATTGAAGAGAAAGTTGAGAATATACCAGGAAGATAACTGAATGTCGTCGAAGTCACCTGGAGCAGCACAGGCATCGTCTTCGTCCAAGTCGTCGTTCTGTTGCTGATGCGTCTTCGTCGAAGTCATCGGTGGCAGCAAGGGCATCGTCTTCGTTCATGTCGTCAGTCTGCTGCGGCAGAGTATTCGTCGAAGTCGCCGAAAGCAGCAGGGGTGCCGTCTTCGTCCAAATCGCCGGTCTGCAGCAACGTCCTCTTCGACGAAATCGTCAAAAGCAGCAACGACGCTTAGGCAAACGGATGGGAGTGGCGGCGGCGGCGTCTTCGTCCAAGTAGTCAGCCTGCTGCCGCGTCTTCTTCATCTTAATCGTCGAGCATCAGACCATAGGAGACGAATGGTTAGACAAACAGATCCGATATTGCATCCGATATTTCATCCCTAGCGTCTAATTTGGTAAGGGTTAAAACTGAACTGACATTAAAAAGCATTTTAAATATTATAAAACAAGCCCCGTTTTAAGTTTCCAGAAATTATATAGATGACCCCGTTTTAATTTACTATGTCGGTTCTTATTATAACCGTTACAAATAATAATATATATTTATAATATTGACCCATTAAACTTATTTGAACTTTCGTTATTTATAAAAATGACCTCGCGCCTACATATAATAACAGTTCAAAGTGAACCCATATTAAAACTTAGATATAGAATGTATATTTTGCACTAGTGTTACGTTGCTTTCCTTTTCTCACTTCCTTTGTCTCCAACTTTGTTATTTCCTTTTCCTTTGCTTTTTTTTTCTTTTGTTCAATTCTTTTCTTTTTCCATCAAATTAAAATACTAAAAATTTAATTGCAATCCTACTTTCTTTATCTTCATCTTAAATTATAATTGAATCTATTTTTTATTCTTTATCAATACATAATAATTCATCTAAAAAAATTCTTTATCTTCATGTTCATAATTTATTTTCTACAATATATTTCTTTATCTCTATAAAAAAAAATTCTTATCTCTTTGATATGTTTTTAGTTTTTTTAAGACATAAAATTTGTATTTTCGATTTAAATTTCATAAAACATGAATTATATTACGTTTTTCATATGTGTGACTTATGTTTATAGCCAATTTATGGAATTACATGTGATATTATATGAAGTTACATCTTTTTATAGGCGAATTACATCTTGTTGTCCATGAGTTACATCTTCTTATACACGAATTACATTTAGACTTGCCTCAACAAGCTATATTTTGCATACACCTAATTTAGATTTTTTAGCATGAGTTACATGTTTTCATAACACGAGTTACATCACGAAATAAATCCATCCATTGAAACCAAAAAATAATTTTTTTGCAAACAAAAAAGATTTTTTTTGGAAAAAAATGATTTTTCGGCAAAAAAAATTAATATTTGTGGCAAAAAATATTATTTTTCTTTGAAACATTTTTATGGCCTTAATACAAAAAACAAAACATACTAACTATTTACGTTAAAAAAATTTAAGCAATTAGACTTCATGTTTTCATTGTTTACATTTGATAGTATATGAAGTTACATCTTCTTATGCGCAGGTTACATCTTTTTATGCGTGAGTTACATCTTCCTTTACGCGAGTTACATTTGGACTTACCTTAGCAAGTTACATTTTACATTGACCTAAGTTAGATTTTTCATCAACGTGAGTTACATTTTCTATAACATAAGTTACATCGCAACATAAAGCTCTACTATTGAAACAAAAAAATCATTTTTTGCCAAACACGGCAAAAAATGATTTCTTTAGCGAAAAAGTGATTTAAAAAAATATTTTTTGGCAGAACATATTCACTATTTAATTAAACACATGCTATTGAAACAAAAAACGAGTTTTTTGCAAGGGAAAAAATGGCGGAAAATGATTTTTTTGCAAAAAAAATGATTTTTTGGCAAAAAAAACTGATTTTAAGGGAAAAAATTATTTATGGTCTTAATATTAAAAACAAAACATATTCACTATTTACGTAAAGTAATTGAGCAATTAGACTCCTTGTTTCAAGGAAATCAATGCTTTATTTCTTATAGTTCGTATTAGACAAGTTACATTTGGACTTGCCTGCAGTTACATTTCTGATCAGTGTGAGTTACATTTCTTTACACGCGAGTTACATTACTCTGCTACTGGACACTGGAAAAACAAAAAATAAGTTAGTGTTCACGCGTGAACAGTAACACGCGTATTTTTATCTATGGAAGCAGCATGCTCACGGTGGGATGCTCCCACGGTATAACAACTGCACCTCTATATTGTGTTTGATTTCTTAAAAATCTGCCATAGCACCGCCAAGTCATTATTTGACAATATTGATTTGAAATTTGAAATGAAATTAATTGAACCAAACTTTTCAGAATTGGATGCGTTGTACTTTTTTTTGCAAAGGACCATTTTAGTTTTTTTCTTATATTTTTTTCTTTATTTTATTAATAAAGTATATTTTAACTTTTTCATAATTGAGTAAAATCAATAAATTCAATCATTTCAACAGAGTCAGATAATTCAATCAATTTAAATGCCACCAAACAGGCTCTAAATGTTTCTTTGGTTTATTTTTTATACATTCCTAGTTAACTTCGAGGGAATATCTCAAGCGAAGCACATGATAACACCTTGTTGTGGCAAATTATATGGTGCAACCGGCGCACCATGAGGATGGTGCGTCCGGTTGCAAAAACGTTGAATCAGACTTTTTTTTTTACTTTTGTTGTTAAAAATGATAATAACTTTTTTATTTTTGATCCGATTTTTATAAAATTTATATCAACATTTTTTATTTTTCATGATCTTTCAAATGAGACCAATATTGTGTATGTAATTTTAAGAAATTATCGAACTATTATATTAATGAGTATTGGATTATAAGAAAAATCGAATCTGTTTGGGAGATGATATGTTTGTGAAATAGAAGATCGAATCTATTTGGGAGTGGATCAGTGGCCTCATTTACATTTGATAATACATTGAGTTACATCTTTTTATGAGCGAGTTACATCTTTTTATGAGCAAGTTACATCTTTTTATAAGCAAGTTACATCTTTTTAAAAGCGAGTTACATATATATAAACACGAGTTGCATTTGACATGCTTGAACACGACTTACATATATTTACACGTAAAGTTACATATTTTTACACGTAAAGTTACATATTTATACACGCGAGTTACATATTTATACACACGAGTTGCATTTGACATGTCTGAACGCGAGTTACATATTTTTTTACGTAAAGTTACATATTGTTACACGTAGAGATACATATTTATACACACGAGTTGCATTTGGCCTGACTGAACGTGAGTTACATATTTTAACACGTAAAGTTACATATTTTACACGCAAATGTTAATATGTTAAAATTACATAGGCAATATTGGTCTCATTTGAAAGATCATGAAAAATAAAAAATGTTGATATAATTTTTATAAAAATCGGATCAAAAATAAAAAAGTTATTACCATTTTTTAAAAACAAAAGGGAAAAAAAATATAAATCCGTACCGGTATAAGGTGCTCATTATATCAACTTGTTGTGGATGAATATATAGTTGGTTTAGCAAGAAAAAAGGTCATAATGCACATTAGTACACAATATTTCATCCACCACCCCCCACAAACACTATTCACTACTTTAAATCTATCAACTTTTGGTACCACATAGTTATTTGAAAATTATATATGTTTTTCAACCTTTGATTCCCCCCTAAGTTCCACAAAAAAACTTTTTTTCACTAATTTTCCCTCAAATTTACATCTTACATCTTCATTAGAGAATGCTTAAAGCTTGTTTCGAAACCAAATATAAGCCAACCAATTTTATTTCACAAACCGAATAGGTTTCTATGTTATGGCTGAAGCAAATTCAAAAATTTATTATGGTTTCTCCAAAATAGCACCACATTAGACCAATTATGTTTCCAAAATAGCACCACATGACCCATTTATGGTCCTGGGTCTACCCTATATGAAACGCACAACCGACCTTTCTCAAACTGGATTGGGTCATGCCCTACTGGCCGGCTACTAGATCGCGTCCATCTCTACAAATTGGGTTTGTCCCTATGTTGTATTCCTTATTATTTGTTGTCATGAGAGATTAAAGCACAGATTTTAATTTGAGAGAACCATAATACATCATTAATGGTGATGATTTTGATATTTTTTTTGTGTTCGTAATTCGTACCATGTTAAAAAGATGTAATGATGGGCAAAAATAGTATCATAGAAGTAGATAATGAGGATGAGAAATCCAAAGAATGCCAACTTGTTTTGGTTCATATAATATAGCCAAAGAAAATGAAGAGGTGGGGGGGGGGGGGGGGGGGGGGGGGGACTTGGATACAAAACCATTATATTCATAGTAGAAATAACAAGTTGCGTGAGAACAAAATGACTCATTTACCCAGAGGCGGACCGTAGTAGAGACCCAGGGGGCTACCGCCCCCCAACAATTTTTTTTTTAAAGTGTATATATATACGAAAAATGATTTTTACTCTTCCAAAAAGTATTTTGAACCTCCCCAAAAATATTTTCACCCCCCAAAATGACTTTCCTGAGTCCGCCCCTGCATTTACCTATCACAACTTCCAACAAGGTGGCATTAAAGTCTGACCCTCCATTGGAATTGAATGTGAATAACCATAAGGGATTAGTTGCTACAAGACATAAGGATCCAACAAAAGCTTACATGACTAATATTTCCACAATGGATGCCCTCATGAATGAAAATGAACAAGAAGGTGATTCTTTCCCTTTGTGGAAGCTTCACTCCCCCGAGTTATCATTATCTTCTCGTGAAGGATATTTGGATCGATCCATGCATAGAATTTTCCATAAAAACTCTGACCCGTGAAATCCCATGCACAGGAGAAGAAGAGAAAAGAGTGGAGGAGATGACCCCAAAGACCTCCTTTAGTTCATCTACTGGAAACTGCCATTCGTCTTCCTCTGTGGCAAAAATGGCATCATATCACTTGGTAATGTGGCCATGGTAGAAAGGTATGGGCAAAAGATTGATCCTTGCATCTAATTCGCTGTGAAGATCCTTACTGGAGAAATTTCAATATGTAGTGTTGGTGTTTGTTCACCTGAGAAACAGTTAATATATACTACATTCATCCCACTAACATTGGAATATAAGAAGGTGGTGCATTTATTAAGAAAAGTGAGTTAAACGGATGATATTGATGTGATAAAATAAGAACAATGTAAGAATGATTTAGAACCACACAAACTTTTCAAATTGGTACGAGATAATCTTAGCAAGAGGGAGGGAGTATTTAGCAGTCACAACATGTTCCTTCTCCTCCCCATCCTCCTAGCCTCCTGCATACCCCCAAAACAACTCGGTTACTATAAATGGTTCAAACTAAATGATATTATGAACCCCTTAAAGAAGTTTCTTGAGTTAGCAAAATTATACTTTGCTAAACCCTACACGGTCATCATAATTCATAAGAGCCTTGTATAAAAAAAACATAAGCCAATTACTTCAAATCTAAATACAATTGGACATAGGAAATAACAAGGTTAAGAGAATTAGGGTTGCTTAGCTTGCAACTTTGCAAGTCAGTGAGATATGGACGGTCCAATCCACCACTTTTGGTGCTTCCACGTCAACTAGCTGGTGGTTGCCTTCAACTGAGTTGATATTAATAAGTTTAATTTTGCATGAAATCTTCAATTTCAAATATAATTATTTTGCAAGAATATATGAAATTAATGATATAAGAAAAGAGGCGTGTTAAAAATACATAACAGTATGAATTGGCTATTTTTTAAAATCACCTTTAGTCCACTGCCTATTTTCTTCTTTCTCCTACTTGATGATATAATGGAAAATTTCCTCCTAAAAAACAAATATCGAAGGGATCAGCATAACACTATAACAAACACGAGAGCACACTATTTACTTATTTAGATAGTTAAATATACAATGACATATTTTCTCTAACAAACGAAGAAGAAATAGAAATAAATTAAATTGCTTCTCTTTTTCATCATTCAGTAAGAGATAGGTATAGAAAATAAACTAAATTGTTTCTTTTTTTCATCATTTAATACGAAGTAATTCATATCGAGGTTGGAAAATTATTTAATATCAACTCTTGAGTAAAAGTATTCCACACCAAAACAAAGAACTCGGCCCACATCAAACAAGTTTCACAATCTAACTGCCTAACAATGGTGTATTGATTTTTAAGAGAGAGCGGCAGAGCGCCCGGTCCGGTCCCAAAAAATGCAGCCCGGGACCGGGACCTTATTTACCCGGTCGGGTACCCAGTCCTAGACCGGAACCGGAAAACCAGACCCGGTCCGGTCCCAAACAGTACCGGATTCGGTTCCGAACTGGTCCGGGACCGCCGACCAGGTCCACCCCTATGCATAACTAACACTAAAGACTCTTACAACAGTTGCAAGTTACAACAATAGTTTCATACCCAACCTAGGAAAGTTTTCTAAGAGGGGTTCACAACATGGCTTGGTTTGAGCCGAATTGGTGTTATGCAGTAGGAGGCCCTACTGCAGATGCTGAGCATATTATATCGATGGCTTCTCACTTCTCAGGTGCTGAAACATCAAGATTATTGATTGGAATTTCGCCAGTTAGGATCTTCACAGAAAATTTGATACATAGATCTGCTGCCCATATGCCTCATCCACCATCACCAAATGCAGCCATTTCTGCCCCAGAAGAAGAGAACTGGCGATTTGCAGCAGATGAACTGAGGGAGGACTGTGAGGTTGTCTCCTCCACTCTCTTCTCTCCTCCTATGCATGGGATTTCACCCTTTAGAGTTCTTATGGCAAATTCTATGCATGGTTCCATCCAAATTTCCTTCATCAGTAATGATGAAGATGATAATGGTTTAGGAGAAGGAAGCTTCCCCAGGAGGGAAGAGGCATCTTCTTGTTTCTTTTCATTCCCAGGGGTATCCACCATGGAAATACCAGTAATGCCAGCTTTTGTTTGACCCTTCGGCGTTGCGACAGCTAAGCTTTGATGACTACTCATTTTCAGCTCCAATGAAGGATCAGCTTTAATGCCAGCAAGGTGCTTGGAAACTCTGATGGGTAAGTGGAACCCTTTGCGCTCACGCAACTTGTTCTTTCTACTGGGAATGATAATATGTGATTTATGTCCAAGTTTTTCCTTCATCTATTCATTTTCTTTAGCTATATGATCCGCAACAAGTTGGCATTCTTCTTCACGTGCTACGAAGACTAAAAAATGTCAAAATAAGCACTAAAGTTGTACTGCTTCATTTCTACTAAAAATTGTCCTAATCTTTCATGACAAAGAATAACAAGAGGGTTAAATTTATTTCCTACGCTTACGATTTGCAAATTACACCAGTAGGGCTGGACCCGGTCCAGCTCATGTTCGGGATAGGTCGGTTCCGGGTCAGATAATGGCTGGAACCGGGACCATAAGCAAGGTATACCCAGTCCAGTCCTGCTCCAGCTTCTTAGCCTATTTAAAAAGCGGAACTGAACCCATCCACTCCTATTCTGGAGAAACCCCAGGACCAGTTTTTGAACTCGTTCCTGTCTTGAACTGGGAAACCAATTCGGGCTCTGGAACAAAAACTGGACAGTCCCAGCCCGGCTCGGGAACCAGTCAACCAGCACAAGGTCCATTCCTACGTACCAGTATTTGCAATTCTTTGCCATTCATCTTTATATTTAGGTCATTTCCTTTTTTAGTCCCTCCCTATTGAAGATGTAAATACTAACAACGTAAATTAGAGAGACGGGTATTACTAATAATGTAAATTAGAGGGGCATGTAGAAAAAAATGTTTTTAGAGGAACTTGGGAAAAACATGCAGAGCTGAAAAACTTATATAAGCCTCATTGTTTATATGGTACCACAAAAGTTGAGAGAGATTTACAGTGGTGGAAAATGCTTGCAGGGGGTGGTGAGATGCAACATTCTGTACTGATGGGCATTACGATTTTTTCTTCCTTGCCAACCGACTCGAGACTCCCATCCACAACAAGATGTTCATGATCTGCTTTGCTTTCAACCGCTTTTAGTACTTCACCTTCAGAAGGTAACTGACAAAAATAATCCAAAGAAACATTTATAATCTTGATGAAAGAAAGACACCATTGGAAGTAACAACTTCTAAGCATAATGATAAAGTGGTATTAAGAGCACGTATTCATGATCTTGTACCAGGCCAACTTCAGGAAAAGGGGAAAGAGGTGGAGCCAAGGCTGGGGGATCATATAAGTTCTATGATTTGAATATGAGAAAACAACAAGAGAAGCCTAGATGAGCTTAATCAGTGCCTCGCCTAATCAAACACACAAGAACTAATTCAAAACCAACTTTGTTAAGTAAAACTGAAGGCCATATATAGCTATTAGAAGAGTCCTTTTTATAAAATGACACACAACTAACTAATTCGAACTTAACTACAACTGGAACTATGATATAACAAGGTTAACAGAATCAAGACTGCGTTACTTGGCCCACATCACATCTCAGTCTGGTTAATCGAATGAACCAATTAGCCACTTTCGCTGCTTCTCTTTGCCAATAACTCTGCCCCAAGAAAGCCATGTCAAGTGGTGGTTGCCTTCAGTTCGTAAGGAGTACAGTTATCAAGTAAGATGACTATATCAATTTTGTAAGAACAAGTTGACAAAGAACAAACTATATTAAATGCACTCCTCATCCACATTGCACATTTCACCCTCAAAGGACCACATTTACAGTAATTTGGACAATTGAGGGGTGACATTTACAAACTCGGGAACACGGATCTGACATTTCAATATGGTGACTATTTGAGGGACTAAAAGTGCGAATTTCCCAATATTTTTTGTTAAGATTAAAAATATAATCCTTCTGTCCTAAAATTATCTCATAGTTTTGAGTTGGCCAACTTGTCAAGTGATATTGTTAAATTGTGGTTTAGATCAAATGGAGAGAAACAATATCAACCATTTAACCATAAAATATTTCCTTAAAGAAATGGGAAGTTAATGTTGGAAGTTGGAACGTTCCAAGAAAGTGGAAAGAAAACTATTGGACGCAGGTAGTATTAATCTGTATTTATAACTACAAATCTAGAATAATGTAAAAAACAGTTTCAGGAAAAGAATTTAAGCAATGAAATAACTCCCATACAATCCGCAAAATGTGGAACTCAAATCCTCTATGCCACATTTTGTGTGCCACCCGCTTTGATTGGTTGAAACAATTTCCACTTGTTTATTATATTTATTAATTAATAGCCATTGATCAATCAATATATGTGGTACAAATGTGGTTCAGAAGATTTGAACCCCAAATCAAGAGTGAGATAAGAAGAGTTTAGACTTTTGAGGTTTTAAAGCTCTTCTATCCCAGCCCCCCAAGCCCATACTTCTCCAACGTAACACCCTCAAATCCTCCGCTATCCTCCCCTGCCCCCCTGAATTCCTCCATCCAATCAAAGGATTAAGCTAATCACATACTTTTATATTTCATATGGAAAAATAAGCATCTACATGATAGTGATAAGTATCTCTGCAAATTTTCCATTTGGATAGCTTAGTAAGAACCGACCTAACATGTAATGGTTTTACACTAGTACAGTGATACCTAACATGTAACATAACCACTATTAGAGTGTTCAGCAAAATAAAAAAGCTAAATAGGCCCATATACTTACAGATGAAAAAAAAACCTGCAGCTTGCATGTTGTTGAGACCTTGATCATTCACGACAAGTTCAGTCTTATACCAACGATCACTAGTTTCAAGGCAGCGAAAAACTTCCTTCAAAGAGCGGAAGACTTGCCCACTCTCACGATCAACATAATACTGCGCAAGTAGTAATACATTAATAAAATATAAATATATATATATATATATATATATAATTAAATAAATAAGTAAGTAAGTAAGTAAGTAAGTAAGAAGAAGAAGAAGAAGAAGAAAAAGAAAAAGTAAAGTAGCAAAACAAGGACCACAAATTAAAACAAATAAGAAAAGAGAGACCATGTGTAGGATTAAGTTACCCATTCTTTCCTAGTCTGGCCACCCTTCTTCATTTCCTTGGTCCACCCTGGAGGTAAGCGCACAGCTACAGATTTCTTAACAGAAAAATAATTTTTTGCAAGTATATATATATATATATATATATATATATATGTATGTATGTATGTATGTATGTATGTATGTATGTATGTATGTGTGTGTGTGTGTATAAATATATGAAATTAATAATATAACATACGAAGCATGTTAAAAGGACCCGAAAAAACCATCTGTAATAGATATTTTTTACCTTTTGTCCACTGCCTTTCTTCTTCATCACCTTGCTGATAAGCTTGAGAATTTCCACCTTACAGAAACAATTAAATCTGTTGAAGGGGTCAAATTAACAGTATAACAAAAAAGAAACGCATTATTTAGATAGTTAGATATACAATCACAATGTGGTAGTTTCCCTTATAAACAAAGAAGAAAAGGAAATAAACTAAATTGTTTTTCTTTTCATCATTTAATACAGAGAAAAAGAAAAGGAAAGAAACTAAATTGTTTCTCATTTTCATCGTTTAAATGGAGAAGAACAAAAGGATAAAAACTAGATTGTTTCTCTTTTACTCGTATTTAATACAGAGTAATCCGTATTGAGATTGAAAAATAGGGAGGTTGTTTAATAAACCTACATAGAAGTTAGCTAAGCAACTTAAATCTAGTGTTTCTCTTTACCAACTTATTGTTCTCTCTTATATAAGAAATAGAGAACCCTCCCCCAGAAAATATAACATTGAAAATTTATATACTTAAATCCCAAAATAAAGAGAGTTAGCTAAGCAAAATTACAAATGCAGGGGCGTAAGTACTTGAGTACAGTGGAAAATGAACTTCAAATCATGTCTTGACCATTGTGGCTATTTCTTACGACATACATATAACATATAGTTATTTTTCACACTAGACTCACTCTTGTGTAGTTAAGTTGAACCAAACTGACCTAGGGAACATGCAAGAGTCTGGTGGCTTTGGGATGAAGATGGATAAAGTCAAATTTTCTCACAAGTAAACCCGTCAATTGCAATGGGGCAACCAGTCAGACTAATGTGTTGAGGTGAGGTTACTTAGAACAAATTTTGCTTCAAACTGTCGGAAGTGTTAGAAATACGGACTCAGACCTATCAAAATCAACATTTTCATCAAATTTCCACCAAGGAGTTCAATAAAAAAAACTGAATATGTTGCTAAAAATTATTACTAACATGCATGAATATTATTTTCTTTGATGATCCAGAGCAATCCACTAGTAGAAACACAAAAGTCACTAGCCCACTGAATTATAAATTCTTAATGGTAAATCCACTAATTACTCTGGAAAATTCTACAATTTTCTAACTTTTAATTTTTGAAAATCACTTTTTTATTCAAACACAACCAACTTCTACTATTAATCACTTATCATATAATCTCTAAATTAGATCACTTCTCAAAAGTAGAACCAAACACAAACCCTCCTTTAGAGATTACCTTTAATAAACATAAATACATGTGTTCATCGGATAAAGTGAATTTGTGAGATTTATGATTCATTTAGAAAAGTAAAAACAATTCAATAATATGCTCCTTACATAAAAGAAAATGAAAAAAGTTTTCCTAAATGATTTGGGTGAGATCATGAGTAAAAGTATTCTACACCAAAAAAAGAACTCTGTCCACAACAAACTATTATCACAAGTTTCACTGTCAACTGCCTAACAACAGTGTCTTGAATTTGAAGAGAGAACATGTACAAATACTCTCCATCTCCTGCAATCAATGGCCACACATTGAAACATAACTAACACTTGCTCTAAAGAGTTACAACAGTCTGGTACCCAACCTAGGAAAGTTTTCCAAGGGATTCACGACATGGGTTGGTTTGAGCTGAACTTAGTTACCCAGCAGTTTTGGTGTCATGCAGAAGGAGAGGGAGGGGGAGGCCCCTGCTGCGGCTGCCGAGCGTTTACTGATGGCTTCACAAATGCCGAAACATCAACGCTACTGATTGGAATTTCGTCAGTAAGGATCTTCACAGCAAATTCAATGCATGGATCTGCCCATATGCCTCCACCACCACCACCAAATGCCGCCACTTCTGCCCCAAAAGAAGACGACTGGCGATTCACAGCAGATGAACTAAGGGAGGACTGTGGGGTTGTCTCCTCCACTCTCTTCACTTCTTCTCCCATGCATGGAATTTCACCAGTCAAAGTTTTGATGGCAAATTCTATGCATGGATCGCTCCAAATATCCTTCATCTGTAATGATGGAGATGATGATGATTCAAAGGAAAGAAGCTTTCCCAGGGAGGAAGAGTCACCTTCTTGTTTCTTTACGCTCCCGGGGGTATCCTCGATGGAAGTATCAGTAATTCCATCTTTTGTTTGATCCTCCTGCCTTGCAACAGCTAGTCCTTGATGACTATTCGTTTTCGGTTCCAACAAAGGGTTGGCTTTAATGCCAGCAAGGCGCTTGGAAACTCTGATGGGTAAATGGGGACTTTTGCTCTCGCGCAACTTGTTCTTTCTACTAGATATGGTTTTGTTTCCAAGTTTTTCATCCACCTCTTCATTTTCTTTGTCCATATGATCTGCAGCAAGTTGGCATTCAGCAGATTTCCCATCCTTGAAATTTACTCCGACCATGTTACTGCTCTCCATTACTGAATCTTCTTCACGTGCTACGAAGACTAAAAAATCTCAAAATAAGCACGACAGTTGTATTGCTTTATTTCTCCTGAAATTTGTCCTTATAATCTTTCATGACAAAAAAATTAATAAGAGGGTTAAAAAAGTTTTCTGTAGGGCTGAACAAGGTTCCAGCTCATGTTCTTAACAGGTCAGTTCTGGGCATGCAAAGGTTGGAACCAGGACTAGAAACAGGTATACCCGGTGCAAACCTGGTCCAGCTTCTTAGACTGTTTAAAAAGCAGAAAGGGACCAGTCCATGACTCCATTCCCATTTTTGAGAAACCGGGACCGCATTTTGAACTCATTACTGTCCTTAACTGGGAAACCGATTCGGTCTCCGGGAGAAAAACAGCCAGTCCTGGCCCAGCTCCGGAACCAGCACAGGGACCATTACTATGTGCCAGTATTTGCAATTCTTTGTCATTCATGCTTATATTGGGGTCATTTTCTTTTTTAGTCCCTCCCTACTGAAGATGTAAATAATAACAGCGTAAATTTGAGGGACAGGTGGAAAAACAAGTTTTTAAGAGGAACTTAGTAAAAATGCAGATCTATGAACCTTATTTAAGCCTCAGATTATTTATTTGGTATCAAAAGTTGAGAGATTTACAGTGGTGACAAGTGATTGCAGGGGGTGGTGAGGTGCAACATTCTGTTCTGATGGGCATCACAACTTTCTCTTCCTTGCCAACCAACTCGAGATTCTCATCAACACCAAGCTGTTTATCATCTGCTTTGCTTTCTACTGCTTTTAGTTCTTCACCTTCAGAAGGTAGCTAGGGAAGGACAAAAAATGGTCCAAAGAAACATTTAAAAATTTTGATGAAAGAACAGCACCATTGGAAGTAACAAATTCAAAACATAATGATATAGTGGTATTAAGAGCACACATTCACGATATCGGCCCAGGCCGCATTCGGGAAAAGAGAAAAGAGCTGGAGCCAAGGCTAAGGAATACTAAAGGTTCTGTGATTTGAATATGATAAAACAACAAGAGAAGCCTACAGGAGCTCAATCAGTTCCTGGCCTAGTCAAAGACACAAGAATTAATTCAAAATGTACTTTGTTAAATAAAACTGAAGACCCTATATAGCTATTAGAAGAGTCCTTATAAAAGGAAACATAATAGAATTAAATAGAATTTACTACAACTGAAAATAGGAAATAACAAGGTTACAGAATCTAGAGTATGTTGCTAGGCCCGCAAGTCAGTCTTGGTTATTTGGACGGTCCATATAGCCACTTTCACTGCTTCTCTCTGGCAATAACTACGGCCCAAGAAAGTCACGCCAAGAGGTAGTTACCTTTAATTGGTAAGGAGTACAGTTTTCAAGTAAAATGAGTTTATTAGGTTTGTATAACAAGGCATTATATTATATGAGTGCAAAGGAACGTGAAGTTGGTGCAGATCTAAAATTGTCAAGATGTCTTTATTTAGAAAGAAATTAGATATAAATAGGTATACAAAGAGATGATGTACTAAAAACAGGTCATTTCTAATACAGGATCATCTTCTCTATGCTTGAACGTGTCAAACTCATAAGGAATAAGTCTCTCATAGATCTTGTTTGGTTCAAAAAAGGAGAGAGGAAGGGAGGAGAAAAGAGGGAGCAGTGGAGAAAAATTATTATTTTGGAAAAATATTTTTTGGTATGATTAAGAATTCTCTGTCCTAAAATTATCTTCCCATTTTGAGTTGGCCAACTTGTTAATTAAGTGATATTGTAACATTGTGGTTTAGGTCAAAAGGAGATAAAAAAATCAACCATGCAATCTTCCCTTAGAGAAATGGGAAGAAATTATTGGAACATTCCAGAAAAGAAAGTGGAAACGAAACTACAGGACGGAGAAAGTATTAATCTACATTTATAACTCTTATTATAATGTAAAACAATTTCAGTAAAAGAACTTGAGAAGTGAAAGAGGTCTCCTACCATCCACAGATTGTGGAACTCAAATCCTCTAAGCCACATTTTGGGTACCACTCACTTTGATTGGTTGAAATAATGTAAATTTATTATCATATTAATTAATTAGTAGCTATGGTTCAATCGATATAAGGGGTTTCAAAGTGGTTCAGAATATTTGAACCCTGAATTTCGAGAGTGAGATAAGAAGAGTTATATAGACTTCTGAGATTTTATAACTGTTCAACCACCACCCCCATAGCTCCCTGACCGCAACACATGCAGCTCCTCCGCTATCCTCCCTGTGCCCAGAATTTTTCCATCCAAACAAAAGTTAAGCTAAGCACATGCTATCATACTACCTCCAACTTTCCTTTTCTGGTTGTCCCAAACACTTCACCACCTTCTTTTTTATGTAATTCATTTGTGCATAAACTTCAACCATGCAGTTTTTACTTTATTATTCCACGCACCGGTCGAACTTTGCAAAGTTATTAGAGATGGAGGGAGTATTCCGTATGGAGAAACGAACATCTACATGATAGTGATAAGCATCTCTCGGAATTTTCCATTTAGATAGCCTAATAAGAACCGATATTACATGTAATGGTTTTACACTAGTACAGTGATACCTGACATGTAACATAACCACCATTACGGTGTTCAGTAACATAAAAAATCAAAATAGCCCCACGCACTTACAGTTGAAGAAGAACCTGCAGCTTGCATGTTGTTGAGACCTTGATCACTCTTAGTTTCAAGGTAGCGAAAAACTTCCTTCAAAGAGCGAAAGACTTGCCCACTCTCAGGATCAACATAATACTGGGCAAGTAGTAATACATTCATGAAAATAAAAATTAAACAAATAACAAGAAAAATAAAAGTAAAGTAGCCAAACAAGGGCCACAAATCAATACAAATAAGAAGAGGCGAGACCATGTGTAGGATTATGTTACCTGTTCTTTCCTAGTCTTGCCACACTTCTTCTTGATTCTTGTTTCCTTGGTCCACCCCGGAGGTAAGTCCTCAACTACAGATTTCTTAACAACAGAATATTTTTAGCAAGATATGAAATTAATAATATAAGAAAAGAAGCATGCTAAAAAGACCAAAAAAATGCATTTGTATTTTATGTGTAGTATTTTTTAATTACCTTTAGTCCACTGCCTTTCTTCTTCATCTCTTTGCTGATATACTGGAGAACTTCCACCTTAAAAATTAAATTTATTGAAGGGATCAGCATAACACTACAAGTCTATAACAAACACGAGAGAACACTATTTAGATGGTTAGATATAAAATGTGGTAGTTTCCTGGACAGTCGAATAAAAAAGGAAAGAAACTCATTTTTTCTCTTTTTCATCATTTAATATGGAGAATTGGAAAAGGAAAGAAACTTAATCATTTCTCCTTTTTATCATTTAATTAATATGGAGAAGAGGAAAAGGAAAGAAACTAAATCATTTCCCTTTTCATCATTTAATACGGAGGAAAAGAAAAGGAAAGAAATTAAATCGCTTCTCTTTTTCATCATTTCATACGGAGTAATCTGTATCTAGAATGAAAAATAGGAAGGTTGGTTAATAAACCTACATTAGAAAGAAGTACTACGTATTTAATAAGCCATTTGACATGAAAATTTTAAAACTAGTGTTTCTCTTGACCTGCAACTTACTCTGCTAGTTTGCTCTCATATGTAAGAATTACAGACCCGCAGAAAATACAAAGAAGTCTTAAATCCCAGAATAAGAGAGTCAGCTAAGCAAAATTACAAATGGGGGGCATAAGTACTTGTGGACGATTGAAAAGAACTTCCAATCATGTCTTGAACATTGTAGCTATTTCTTAACACATACATTTAACATATTTTAAACATATAATTATTTTTCTCACCAGACACTCTCCTGTGTAGTTAAGTTGAACTAAACTTACCTAGGGAAAATGAAAGAGTCTGTTGGCTTTAGGATGAACATAGATAAAGTCAAATTGTCTCCCAAGCAAATCCATTATTTCAAACAGGGCAACCAGTCAAGCTAATGTGTTGAGGTGAGGTTACTTAGAACAAAACTTGCTTCAAACTGACAGAAGTGTTAGAAATAAGGACTCAGACATATCAAGATTCATAATTTCATCAAATCTCCAAGTAGGAGTTCAATAAAAAAATTGAATCTTTTGGTAATAATTATTACTAGCAGTCTAGCATGCATGAATTATTTTCTTTGATAATCCACGCCAACCACTGGTATAGACGGTATAGTCACTAACCCACAATAATTATAAGTTATTAACGATAAACACATAACAATTATAAGTTCTTGACGATAAAACCACTAATTACTCCGGAAAAAAATATATCAATGGCTATCTAAAATAAGAATGTATGCATAAGGGTGGGGTGGGGTAGCACCGTAGCAAAAAAAGAAAAAATTTAACCACTTTGCGTTTCTTTCCACACATCAACCTTGTTCTCACATCCATTTTCCAACCTGCAAGAAGCTAATTCGGCAAGCACGCTTTCTTCCCTTTACATTTTCCTACCAAACTCCACACAAAAATAACTATTCCCGGGGAGAAATGAAAAACCCACCAAGCAAGAAACAGAAAGAAAAAAGCTTTATGCTCACCAGAATCTTGAAAACGACGACTTGTCTCAGAGTATCTTATCTGGGCTTACCGGAAGAAGAAAAATGAAATGCACTCAGCAGTTTACTGGCTAGGGGGAGTAGTGGCCTGTGGGGTGTGTAGAAAATGCAACTGAAGAGCGTGGGGAGGTTGAAATACTGCAGGGGTGGGGGTGAGGGTGGGGGCGGGGTAGTGGCCTGTGGGGGTGGGGGTGGGGTGTAGAAAATGTAACGGCAGAGCGTTGGGGGGAGGGGTGATTAAAAGCGGGCAAGAACATCAAGCATATGAACGAGTAATCCGTGTATTATCAAGTCCATAATGATGACCTTTTACTAAAATTAGGAGTATGATGTGTAGAGAGACACAAGAGACACCCTTAATACGGAGTAAGAGACAGACAATTGTAAAGGGTCTCTATAGACACAACAATAGTCAGATTATGAGCTTAAAATCTCTGATAAAAGAGTGGGTAAAAAATGTGAACTCCTCAACTCAACTTGCAAGAGATGATAAAAGTTCTTATAGTCTTGTCCTTCCTAAATTCACGTTGATAGTACATTTGACACGGAGATTAAGATATCGGTAATTGTGTGACAGAGAGTCATTCATAGAATAGAAAAGTGTAAGAATATATAAGAATTGATGTGAAGAACAAATTCTTTGGCCTTGTTTGGTAAATGGCTATTAGTTGTTGTTGTTAGCTGGTTGTGTCAGTTGTTTTCTAACAGTTGGTTGTGTTAGCTGTTTTGACCAATTGGTTATGTTAGCTGATTATAAATAACTGTTTGGTAAAATTGGTTGTTTCGAAATTGTTGATAGAGTGTAAAAAGACATATAAAGACATAATAATACTCATTGTATTTTATTATTGCTAAGAATGAAAATTTTATAACTATTGTTACTTCAACAATATAAATCATTTTTATAACTGGAAATTTTAAAATTTGTTGAATAAAATCTATTTTAATATCTACTTTGATATATCGAATGTTCATCATACTACAAAAATTTATAGTATTTAATTTTATAATCACTCAATCATCTAATTCAAAAACATCAAATTAATTCAAGATAGAGAGCATAACTAATAATAAAAAATATTAGTTAAGCATATATTATTTGTCTAGATAGTACTACGTATTTGATTAAACAAGTTTTGTTTAAAATAATTAGAGTAATTATTACTATATATTACTTAAATGATTGATTTAAAAAATGCTAACTCAAAACAATGAAAGCAAAAGGAGTGAAAAGAAGAAAAACTGGTAAGCAAAATAATTGAGTTGACTAAGTTAAAAAAATGAGCAAAACCACAATGAGAATAAATTGGAGTTATATGCAATCACTTTGGGAGCTTTGAGCTATACCCTTATGGGAATAAATTGAACAGCCGAATGAAGAAGCTACTCCCCTTAGCTTCTTCAATCATCCATTTTTTCAGTTTTTCAAACTCAACAAGCTAATTTTAAAAAGTCATTTACCAAACATTATTATTAGCTTCTTTGGCTAATCAAACAACTGAAATGGGTCAAACAAGCTAAAAGCTGGCTGATAAGCCATTTGCCAAACATACCCTTTATCAAAAAATGGGAAAATGAAAGTTTATTTTGGAATGACGAAAAAAGAAGTTTGAAAGGTTTAGTTAGGGACGGGGGAAGTAATATACTCTCTCCGTCTCATAAAATAGTTCCCGCGTTAACTTGGATCGGAGTTTAAGAAAGTGGTAATAAAGTGAAAATGTATGATTGTGATTAGGGCTGGGCAAAGTGGTCCGGTTTGACCAAACCGAACCGAACCGAAAATTTGGAGTTTGGTTTGGTTTGGTTTGGCCTAATCAAACCATTTGGTACAATTATTGGTAAGCAGAATGGTCCGGTTCGGTTCGGTTATAAAACCGAAATACCATAGTACCCGATCGGTTGCCTACTCTAACAAATAAACATACCTATTCCCGATTCCCAAATTAGAATGTTCCTCAGTCCGCACAAACCCTCCATCACAAATAGTCAAGTACGATCGAAATACTCTCATCACAAACCCTATCCATATGCCGCCTTCATCTCCTTCCCTAATTTTCACTATCTTTAATCGTTAGTGCCGTCTCCATGTAGTCTTCTGTCTTCCTAACAACGAATTGCGAAACTCAGCTCGAAAGTTTGAAGTCTCTGAACTCTGAAATCTTGGTGGTTAGCGGAAGGTTTTCTAGTAAGTATAACTCTTCATTCTTTTCTTTCTTTGTTAAATTAGGACCCAAGACTACAACCCTATGTCATATTATATAATACATTTGCTTCTTCGAGCCCCTAGAACAATATTTAATACCTGCTTTCATCTAGGGTTCCAACGGCCTCCTTCAGAAGCTTGTGTGCTTCTTCTCTTCTCCCTTTTATGTCCTCAACACATTTTTATGTACTCTGTTGTACCTGGCGTTCTACGATGTGTATAATTGTTGCTCTGGCGCTGTAGCATATAACTTTTAGCTGATTTGTATCAAATTGGTACTTCTTGATCCTGTTCCTCACTAATAGTAAATATTATTATATTGTTGTGCTTTTGCAGATGGCAGACTCTTCATCCTGTGAAGATAATATGAACATGATTGATGTTGATTTTGACCTAACCATCGACCCGGTGGATAACGTTGAGGTTGGACAGAAAAGGAAGAAACCTGCCGTGACAACCAGTGCGCTCCCCCCAAAAGGACCAAAACAAAAGAAAAGAAGAAATACCTCCTAGATCAAAGGTATGGGATCACTTCACAAAGTTCGGTCAAAAACTAGATAGGTGTAAATGCAATTATTGTGCAAAAGAATATCAGTGTGGGTCGTCCAAATGTGGAACTAGTACTTTGAAGGCCCATAATGATAGATGTCAAGAGTATAAAAATCGTCTTGATAGGTAAAGGCAAAAAATTCTCAGTTGTGGTGATAAGGTAGGTGATGGCAGTAATCAGGTAAATGGTAAGCTTGTGGCCATAGGTTTCAGTCAAGAAGCTTGTAGAAATGCCATGATTAAGATGATTATTTTGGATGAATTGTCATTTCGTTTTGTGGAAAGGATAGGGTTTAAACTTTTTTGCCGTGTGGTTTGTCCTAAATTTGTTATCCCATCAAGAAGAACAGTTGCACGAGATATAATAGAACTCTACATGAAAGAAAAAGTTGCCCTGAAGTCTTTGTTAAATCAACAAAAACAAAGAGTCTCTTTAACTACCGATCTATGGACTGCCAACACTACCACAGTCAGCTATATGGTTATCACTGCACATTTCATTGACTTGAATTAGAGGTTGCATAGGAAAATCATAAGTTTCAAGCCAATTTGTGATCATAAAGGAGAGACAATTGTCAAACAATTGGAGAGTTGTCTGATTGATTGGTGTATTGATAAGGTTTTTACTATAACAGTTGACAATGCTACTGCAAATGATAGTGCAGTTAGGATACTAAAAGTAACATGAAACTTTGGAAAGATGATCCTCTATTTTTAGATGGTGAATTTATGCATGTTCGTTGTTGTGCTCATATACTAAATTTGATAGCAAGAGAAGGTCTGTTAGACATAAGTGATAGTGTTGTTAGCGTACACAATGCAGTGAAGTATGTTAGGTCTTCTCATGGCAGATTCCTAGCATTCAAAAAACGCTCTGAACTAGATAATTTCACTAGAGGAAGCCTGATTCTAGACAACAATACTAGGTGGAATTACACTTATCTTATGTTGACTGCGGCAATGAAGCACGAGGTAGCTTTTGATAGAATGGCAGATGAAGACAGGCTATATGACAGTTACTTTCAAGAAGATGAAAAGGGCGAAAAAAGAGTTGGACCTCCGAAAGGCGAGGATTGGGAGAAAGTTCGTCGATTGGTAAGATTCATGAAAATTTTCTACGATTCCACACTATCTTTTTCTGCATCTAAAAGTGTGACATCGAGTAGTTGTTATAATGAGATATACTCACTTGAAATGAATTTAAACTCATTAATTAATGACAAACATGATGTTAACTTGAGTACTGCCACGACTGAAATGAAGAAAAAGTTTGGTAAGTATTGGGAGGGAATAGAGGTCAACAAGTTACTGATTGTTGCAAGTGTGTTTGACCAACGAAGTAAAATGAGTTTTGTAACTATTTGCTTGGAGAAATTGCATGGGTAGGATAGTAAGAAGTGTAGTGAAATGAAAGAAGCGATAGTTGAGGTGTTGCGTAGGCTTTATGAAGTGTATAATATTGTGCATGTCAAGCTCACAAGTGCAACTCAATGTCCAAGTGAAACTGGAAGTGTGAATCAGAGTTGTGTATGTGAAAGTGGTTCATCTGATTTTTTGAGTTTTGATGGTGATGATGGGTTTGAGAATTTGTTTTCAGAATATACTCAAATGGTTAGTGACACAGGAAGTGTGGAAGAAACTTCCAATGAATTGGATATATACTTGATGGAAAAAATAGAATTGCCATCACATAATAGGTTAGGCATGCAATTTGATATTACGTCATGGTGGAAGGCACAAAGTTTGAAGTTTCCAATTTTGGCTGAAATGGCAAGAGATGTTCTTGCAATTCCTGTATCAACTGTTGCATCTGAGTCCGCTTTTAGCACAGGAGGTCGGATTCTGGACCCGTATTGGAGTTGTTTAACTCCTCATATGCTTGAAGCATTGATTTTAACACAAGACTGGTTGCGCTCGTCTCTTGAATCAGATGGTAAAGTCACCCTTCACCAAATAATAGAGGAAACTAAGTTCATGGATTCACTTGTTCAAGGTAATTACTAATAATATACGAAGTATATGTTATTAATTTACTTGAGGGCAAACTGTTTAACTACTTAATACACCATTTTTTTCTAACACGTGGTTTTTTTAAAGATATCCATAAAGCAAGTGAGGATGTAGGCTGATATATGAGCTCACTGCTAGATGGAGAAAGGGTCAGCCAGGGGCGGATGTATGCTAGGCCAGGGGTGGGCTTCAGCCCAGTCTATTTTTTTTTTAATAGTATTGGTACATTTTCAAATCTCAGCCCAGCCTAAATTATTTGTCAGCCCACCCCACAAATAATTTGTGAATCAGTGAAGTTATGAACTTCTGCCGTGAATTTGTAAACTGTGATTAACCGATTGTGTATTAAACTATTAATGTATTAATTATTATTATTTTTAGCATTTTAGAGTTTTAGGGCTAGGGAATCATACAATCGTTTTGATTATTAATTGAATTTTTCAGTACATAATTAAATAGTTTTATTTT